TCCTTGGTCAGGGAACTAAGATCTCATATGCCACAGGGCAACCAAGCCTGTGCGCTGCAACTACTGAGCCTGTGTGCTCTGGAGCCCGAGTGCCACAACTAGAGGGCTGGCATGTCACAACTAAGACCCAATGCAAACAAGTAAATAAATAAATATTTTAAAAATTTATTTAAAATTTTTTTCATTTACCATTTCCTTACAAAATATATGTGGGAGAATATGGCTTAAAGACAGACGGGAAAAGCCTCTTATTTATTCATACTACTTTACTGTACTACTTATCCAGTCTGACAATAACGCCAAATTTATTTACTACCTAGGGCAAGGGTAGCTAAGAGGAATTTTATGAAGTCCAATTAATTTTGTTTCTGAGATCTTAAGTGCTTAAAATTTTGGAGTTCTTCAGATTAACTAAAAAAAAATCAACAACCAAATACCCCAAAGGTTAGATAAAAAGCAATTTGTTAGCCATTAACAATTATCCCACTCTTTAACAGATTAGGATTAGTTAGTAGACTAATAGTCTGTAGACCAAGGCAACTTTTCTTAAGCAAGATGCTTCTATTAAGGAGAGAAAAATGATCTCTTCAAAAACAAAACACTAGAGTAATGGAAATAAAAACAAAAATAAAGAAATGGGACTTAAAATCTTTTGCACAGCAATGGAAACCATAAACAAGACAAAAATACAACACTCAGAATGGGAGAAAATATCTGCAAATGAAAAAACAGGCAAAGGATTAATCTCCAAAATATACAAACAGCTCATGGAGCTCAATATCAAAAAAACAAACAATCCAGTTAAAAAATAGACAGAAGACCTAAATAGACATTTCACCAAGGAAGACATACAGATGCCCACGAGGCACGTGAAAAGATGCTCAATGCTCAACATCACTAATTATAAGAGAAATGTACCTTAGACATAGAGAATGGGCCTGAGGACACGGGGTGGGAGGGGGAAGCTGGGGCGAAGTGAGAGTAGCATCGACATATATACAGTACCGAATGTAAAATAGCTAGTGGGAAGCAGCAGTGGGAGGGAGGCTCAAGAGGAAGGGGATATGGGGATATATGTATGTATATGGCTGATTTCACTTTGTTGTACAGCAGAAACTAACACAGTATTGTGAAGAAATTATACTCCAATAAAGATCTATTAAAGAAAAAAAGAGTGGTCTAAAATCATTCTAGAGCTATCTCTTGGGTCAGAAATAGAACAATGGACAACTCACTTTCCACAAACGTACCATTTTCCCTTGCTTCCCTCTGTCCCTCCCTACAGCCTCCCTCCTCCCTCTCTCCTCCCTCCCTCCCTTTGTTTTATTTATTTGAAAAATTTATTTATTTTTGGCTGTGTTGAGTCCTCGTTGCAGTGAGCGGGCTTCTCATTGCAGTGGCTTCTCTTGTTGGGGAGCACGGGCTCTAGGTGTGTGGGCTTCAGTAGTTGTGTTGCCCAGGCTCTAGAGCGCAGTCTCGGTAGTGGTGGTGCATGGGCTGAGTTGCTCCGCGGCATGTGGGATCTTCCCCAACCAGGGCTCGAACCCATGCTCCCTGCGTTGGCAGGCGGATTCTTAACCACTGCACCACCAGGGAAGGCCCTTTCTTTTTGAAAGAGAGAAGTTGGTTTTATATATCAAACCCAGAATTTTCATGTTTCCCAATTTTGGTGCTAGAGATCCCCAAATTCCTTGAACTGATTTGGGAAGGTTTCTGAAGGTGCATATTATAGTAAACAGTAGCAAAATACCAAACCACTTCTATTGCTAAAAAGCAGCTACTGCTGCTTGTGCTTTTAGAATACTAGTTGTAAAACAGCAACAACATGCAAAGTTGTGCCATCAATTGGGATTTGAGCTATTCTAAGGAAAAAACATTGTTTTCTTTAAAAACAGTCCAAGGCAGGATGCTTATAATCATATTGGGCAAATATTGAGTTTTGGGGGAAAATGTCAGAAAACATCCAAAAGGAAGAGACAATAGCATTATATTTAGTATACTAAAGGCATGCTTCAGGTAGTTAACTATGATTCTGGTAAGATGAACTGCTTACACGCACACACATAGATTTTAATGGTTAAAAAACCCTCAAATTTGTTACTTTATTTATTTATTTATTTTTTGGATGCACCACGTGACATACAGGATCTTAGTTCCCCGAGGAGGGATGGAACATGTGTCCCCTGCAGTGGAAGTGTGGAGTCTTAACCACTGGATCACCAGGGAAGTCCCCAGATTTGTTACTTTAGGAAAATAAATGCAGTGGATTTTCAGCAATATTATTGACTGATTGCTCAGTCCACACATAAGTAGTAGTTGCTTTCTATGGTGATAGGGCTTCTCTGCACTAATTCCCATCATGTTGAAAAACACTAGTGCAGGTTAAGACCAAACTGTTGCACAAAGGAAGATTTACTCATCAGATCCCACTGATGTGCCTGTCTCCTGGGCAACCTTCTTGGTGAAGCTTTATTGATTTGATTCAAAGTTTCCTGAGGAATCCAGCTCATGTCAACATCATTCTGACTTGACCTACCCATCTCTACCTCTGTATGGGTCTCTTGTGCTTTCTAGATTCTAGGAGCTGATGAAGGCCAACAACCACAAAGAGCCCAAGACCAGTAAGGAACATATACACAAAGATTGTTTCTCCATCTAACCCATCTTCTGTCTCAATAATTGTAACTGTTTGATAGAAGACAGCATCTTGGGAAATGCTGCCGTTCAGATCTTTGTAGTTCAGATTGATGACCAGACCAAAGGGCCTTCCACCCATGGGCTCTGCAGGAATTCAGAAGTACTCAAAAACTTCCTGCCTCTGGGGCGGCACTACAGTGTTCAGAGGAAGAGCTGTGAAATTCTGGATGTAAAACTGGTAGTCCTGAAGATAAAGGAATGAGGTGTCTAGAGATTCAACAATAAAATCTGGTCTGTAAAGCCTACCAGGAACTTCACAATGTTATCTGCTGGAAACTCTCCTTTCACAAACAGGATGGTTGTATCTGCACTCGGGTGAAGCTTCAGGTTCACCAGATACATCTTCTTCCTCTTTATCTTCGGCCAAATATGTGGGTTCATCATCTTCCACCTCTGCTTCATCGTCTTCATCTTCATTTATAGAATCTTCCACTGTTTCTTCACCTTCTGTAAGACCTCGAGTCGCTGCCAATGAGCCTCCAGGATCTCCTCGGAGCAAGAGGCTGGCAGGGAACAGCAGCAGGAGAAGCAGCAGCAGGCGGGGGAGGGACTTCATGGCGCCGCCGTTCCAGCGTCCAGTCCCTGTCCGTTGTAGTTTCATAGCATATTTTTCTTATTCTGTGGGAATGCATGCTACAGTATTTAATTATGATATGTCATGATGTAAAGTATTAGTTATGAAATGATGTCTGCAACTCAGATGGTTCAACACAACTTTCAAGCGGTTCAACAACTATTTTTTTTTTGAGGTACGCGGGCCTCTCACTTCTGCGGCCTCTCCTGTTACCGAGCACACGCTCCGGACGCGCAGGCTCAGCGGCCATGGCTCACGGGCCCAGCCGCTCCGCGGCATGTGGGATCCTCCCGGACCGGGGCACGAACCCGTGTCCCCCGCATCGGCAGTCGGACTCCCAACCACTGCACCACCAGGGAAGCCCTCAACAACTTTTATAAACACACACACGTACATACACACATACGTACATCCGTACTGGGAGAAAATGAGCAGAAACCGCAAAATGGTAAGAATTGTTTGATCTAGGTGGAGTGTATACAGGTGTTCACTGCACTGTGCTCTCAACTTCCCGTCTGCATTAAAATTATCCTAATAAAATGTTGGAGGGGAAAAACACCGCCTCTCCTCGCGGAACCGCCTCGGGTCCGAAAGGTTGGGAGAGCAGGTGGGAAGGCCAGCAACGCCCTCACCCCAACCAGCGGGACCAACCTCGAGACTCCATCTGGGCATGCTCAGAGGCTCCGTCGCGCCCGCCCCGCCCCTCGGGGTACGTGAGCGCTAGGCGCAGGCGCCCGGCTCCCGGCAGCCAGCGAGACGCCAGCTGCGAAACGCGGCGGACGCCTGAGCTGCGGGATCTCTGCGAGGATGGAGTCGAAGGTGGAAAAGTTCAGCACCGCCGACAGGGGAAACGGGCTGCGTGCGTTGGCGTCGCTGCGCCCCGGAGAGCTGCTTTTCCGCTCGGATCCTTTGGCGTACACGGTGTGCAAGGGGAGTCGTGGTGTCGTCTGCGACCGCTGCCTCCTCGGGTACGTACCTCCCTCGCCCACCTGAGTCCAGAGCAGTGAGGGGTCCGGGGTGCTGAGGGCGTGGCTGGGGGGGCAGCCCTCCCCGGGACTCCCCCTGGCCGTGGCTGCACAAGGTCTCGCCGGTGCTGCCCAGATGCCCAGCCCCGCACTTCCCCAGATGCGCGGCTGCGGGGGGCGCCTCGCAGCTGACAGACTCCGCTTGGCCGTCCCCTGGGCTGCCGCGGCGGGGGTTGGAGGGACCCCAGACGCAGCCCCAGCTGGACCCGCTACCACCCCATCCCGCCGTACTAGTAACTGGAGAGAGCCAGTGGGCAGACTTAAGGGGAAACGTTGGGCCGTAGGTAGTTTTGCTGCGGAACAAAAAAGTCTGTGTCTCAGGCGATAAGCTTCATTGGTGCCGTTGTGGAAATCACAGCTGGCGGAGGTGGGGGTGAGTGAGAGAACGGATGGTGTAAGTCAGGCTGACAGCCGAGGCCTTGCCAAGAAACTGCGGGGCTCGCAGGACGCAGAAGAATCTTGGTGTTCACGGAGCACTTCCTGTGGTCCAGGTTCTGTTTGGCCTGGGGATACAAAGATGAACGGGACGTCCTTAAGAATCCTTAAGGAGCAGATAAGTGAGCGAGATAATAACACCGCCTCTCCTCGCGGAACCGCCTCGGGTCCGAAAGGTTGGGAGAGCAGGTGGGAAGGCCAGCAACGCCCTCACCCCAACCAGCGGGACCAACCTCGAGACTCCATCTGGGCATGCTCAGAGGCTCCGTCGCGCCCGCCCCGCCCCTCGGGGTACGTGAGCGCTAGGCGCAGGCGCCCGGCTCCCGGCAGCCAGCGAGACGCCAGCTGCGAAACGCGGCGGACGCCTGAGCTGCGGGATCTCTGCGAGGATGGAGTCGAAGGTGGAAAAGTTCAGCACCGCCGACAGGGGAAACGGGCTGCGTGCGTTGGCGTCGCTGCGCCCCGGAGAGCTGCTTTTCCGCTCGGATCCTTTGGCGTACACGGTGTGCAAGGGGAGTCGTGGTGTCGTCTGCGACCGCTGCCTCCTCGGGTACGTACCTCCCTCGCCCACCTGAGTCCAGAGCAGTGAGGGGTCCGGGGTGCTGAGGGCGTGGCTGGGGGGGCAGCCCTCCCCGGGACTCCCCCTGGCCGTGGCTGCACAAGGTCTCGCCGGTGCTGCCCAGATGCCCAGCCCCGCACTTCCCCAGATGCGCGGCTGCGGGGGGCGCCTCGCAGCTGACAGACTCCGCTTGGCCGTCCCCTGGGCTGCCGCGGCGGGGGTTGGAGGGACCCCAGACGCAGCCCCAGCTGGACCCGCTACCACCCCATCCCGCCGTACTAGTAACTGGAGAGAGCCAGTGGGCAGACTTAAGGGGAAACGTTGGGCCGTAGGTAGTTTTGCTGCGGAACAAAAAAGTCTGTGTCTCAGGCGATAAGCTTCATTGGTGCCGTTGTGGAAATCACAGCTGGCGGAGGTGGGGGTGAGTGAGAGAACGGATGGTGTAAGTCAGGCTGACAGCCGAGGCCTTGCCAAGAAACTGCGGGGCTCGCAGGACGCAGAAGAATCTTGGTGTTCACGGAGCACTTCCTGTGGTCCAGGTTCTGTTTGGCCTGGGGATACAAAGATGAACGGGACGTCCTTAAGAATCCTTAAGGAGCAGATAAGTGAGCGAGATAATTAATTACAACGTATCAGAAGGGCTGAAATAGAGATGCAGTACTGTGCTGTAGGAGCATCAGTTACTGAGGTTCCATCGTGTGCTTTGCATTTAATGACTGCGCAGGCAGGTCTAACTCTTAACTACCTATCTAGATGCAAGAATTCTTGTGAAAGTATTTTATAAGCCTGTAAGCACTGGGTCAATGTAAAGTGCTATGGGAGGGCAATTTATGGAAATGTGTAATATGTATGCACAGTCATAGGAATTGTATTCAAGCAACAATTGTTCTTGAGCTCCTATTACATGTCAAGGAGAAGAGCTCTGTTTTAGATGGCCGGGATGATTGTTTTCCATGACTGCTCTTCCAGACCTATTAGTCTGGGATTGGGGTGGAGGGAGGTGAGGGGGTAAGTGCAAAAAGCTCAAATCAGTAGCTTGACCATTAGTATTACTATGTCCTTATTTGGTTCATAATTGAGGAATTTATTTTCGTATTTTAAAGTTACTTAATTGTATTTGTTGCTTCCTGAAGTAATGATAACAACAACAACAACAAAAATTCTTTGAGGAGTGAACACCATGAAGCTCTTGTAAACTGTGTGGTTGAAAACAATTCATTCCTTTCAAGAAATGAAATGCTGAAGGCTTCAACATTGAAAGTTATAGACCTTTGATTCTCATTCAAGCAAATTAGAGAGAAAGCTGGGATGTTCATCCTGTTAAATCCTTTGGAGGTGTTTCTAGAGTTTGAATGTAGTCCAGAACAGAGAACTTGCTTTTTCTTAAGTCTTATTAATTGATGAAGATGTGGATCATCTTGCAGATCAGACCAGACTACCAAGTTATTTAGTAGTTGGAATAGAAAAGTTTTGGAATGAATACACGATGACAGATTATTAATTGAATTATCAGAGCTGAACATGGAATTGTCCACTTTCCAAATAGACTGCGCAAACCCAGCCCTTTATATGTGGCATACTTCTTGTTTTACCATTACAATTCCATTACTGCTATCACTTATTTTTCTTATTAACAAAACTGTACCGATTTAAACGAGAAAAGGAATTTCATGAAAGAGTTTTGGGGAGTTCTCGGCATCCTTTTAAAGTCTAGAGGAAACCCAGCTCTGAACGTGGGCAGGAACCAGGGGAGTTCCACAGTCAGAATTGCACTTCAGAAGTAGATGGGGTTGGGACCTGGAGAGTACGTTCCTTCTGACGCTGCCTGGTAATACTGGGTTCTGCAGCATGTATCGCCAGCACTATGACACTGGACCCTACTGCTGCTGCTATTCTTGCCACCACTGCCGCTGCCACTGCTGCTTGGGAAACTGGTTATTGCTGGAAAGTTGCCAGCTCAGCCATGCTTCTTTGTGATATTAGCTTTTTCTTTCTTTTTTTTTTTTTTTCTATTTAATTTTTTGGCTGTGCTGCGAGGCTTGCTGGATCTCAGTTCCCTGACCAGGGACTGAACCTAGGCCGTGGCAGTAAAAGCCCGGAATCCTAACCACTAGGCAACCAGGGAACTCCGGATATTAGCTTCTGATTCAAAGTTCTCAGTGGGTGTCTTGGATTGGTTGAGCTTGGGTCACTGCCTGCATCCTAGCTACAAGGGAAGTTGAGAAGGCCTTCGTGGCTTTTAAGAAAGGAGGCAGGTCTACTTCCCACCATATGCGTATTATAATGGGGAAATCAGCAAACATAAACATAGGAAAGGTAATATCAGTAAATGCCAAGGATCCAAACAAAACAAACTAAAACAAACAAATGGATTTTTTATACTGGACTAACAAACACTTGTTTATTAGTACTTTACACACACAAAAATATTTGCACTTAGTTTTTTTTTTTTTTTTTTTTTTTTCTG